AGGAGGGGACGCCCCTTCAATGACACCACCGTTGATATTCACATGTCCATCGTTATCCACCACGACACGAACCTCGTGCAAATGTTCTCCGAATGTCAAAAAATTGATAAAGCATCTCCTCGACTAAATTTGAGCGAAACTAAAATAATCTAGCATAAAACGTAGAAAATAAAGCAATTTTAAGTCATCGCAAGTCTTACGGTAAAAATGTGAGGGCGGCATCGAATCCCAAGTTGTCATTTATGACGCAGCTTCATAAATATGCAATCAACATGCGAGCATCATCCACGCAAACAGCAAAGTTTGACGCCGGCGGGCGGGCAGCCCTATCGGCCAGCTTAGTTCCAACATCAGATACGGGGGCGGGGGGAGGGGCCGCGGCGGCCGAGTGGGCGGTATCCGGCGCCAGCTGCGGCCGACCCACGGCCCTGCAGCCAGGTAGGGCCGCCCGCCCGAGCGCGCTCGGATCGACCCCCGAGCTCCGCGGCGCCGGTGAACGCCGCCCGCTCGGCCGGTCGGCGGCAGCGGCCTGGAGAGGGCGGCCGGACAGAGGGCCAGAGCGGCGCCCAGCGAGAGGGAGAGAGGGAGAGAGAGAGAGCTGTCACGGAACAAAGGCGGGTGAGGCAACCGCCGAGCGGGCCGGCCTGGCGCGGCGGTGGCTGGCGGCGCCGGCCGTGCGCGGCACAGCCAGCCGCCCGGCTCGCAGCGCTCGCCGCCGCTGTGCTGCCGACGGCGCCGGTTCAGAAATACCCAGTCCGCCAGCCGGTCGGTCGGCCGGCCGGGCCGAGCCGCCGCCAACCGCGTGTGGCGCACGGCTGCGGCCGACACAGAGCGTCAGCACGACGCCCGTCACAAACACACGCGGCCGCATACAGCCGGACGGCACCCGGGGCGGGGACACACCTGTGTCGGCAGCCCCACTGCGCCCGTCCCCTGCACTCCCAGAGCTGCGGGCGCCGGTCGTTTGCATAGCGCGGCCGGGCGGGGCGGGGCGGCTGCGTGGTTTGCAGACCGGCTGCAGCGCGCGCGGACACCGAGCCGAATCATTCAGACGAGATCACCGCCTCGGCCCGCCGTGATGACCTACCGCCAGATCTTATCGACCGCCACCCGGTGATGGCCTCAATCCGTTTACCAGCTGAGAACAGCTACACGGCAGCAATGAAAACGAAAGTAAATGCAGATTAGCGCCGGACCAGGACGAACAAGTCGTTGACCGGCATGCAATGTCAGCACGCCCCGGCAATATTCGCTGACATTGAATTCCGCAGCGGTCGAAAATGACGGTGGGTTATCTTTAGGTCAAATAGCGCCCGCTCAGCGGTGAAATTCGCATCCGGCGCCACATTTCAGCTCGGCCGTGTTGTGTTGCCTCCAGGGCGGCAGTTGACGGCCATATATCAGCCGCTATGGCCCGCTGTTTGCCAGTTTGCGTGGGACGGAGACTGGCGATGATTTATTGCCAGCGGCAGCGCCGAGCATTGGTGACGTCACACTCAGAGAACTGCGCCATCGAAAACAGGCCCCGGCCGCAGCAATCGGTAATGCTATCTTTTCGTCGGACGTGGTCGAGCGATTAATCGCTAGTACCAAAATACGGGATTTTTATTAGGCTGCAGAAATAATACGCCAGCAGTGAATCCTTACTGAAAAGTAACAAAACGAAACAAAGAAGCCAATGCAGTATTAATTGTTGACATCATCGGAATCCAAAACGAGTTCAACAGTCGCTCATACTCTATTGCCTCACTCAAGTTCAGTCAGTCAGCCTCGACACCGAATACAACAAAGAACGACACATGCCAGCTGAGCGTCCTCCTGTGATTGACGGTAAATACCCGCCGCTTCTGAAGGACGGGTGGGTTTCGCTCCAAACTCAACTTGGTTCGGTAACCAGGAGATACACTACCGTCGCGTGTGGGTCACCCCGGTCGCCCGCCCCAGTGCCGGCGCCCCCATAGACCGGTCCCCCGCCGAGACTGCCGCGAATAGACGGCAGCGGCGGCGCGGCGCGGCCGTCTGCCGGCTGTGCCGGGCGGGAAGCGGAAATGAGCCGCCGGCCGGCGCCCGGGGAGGGTAGCCGAGTGCCAGGTCGGCAGCGGGGCACGCTCGGCTGCTGCCGCCGCAGCACGGGCCGGCCACGCCAGGCTGCAGCGGCGCCAGGTGCGGCGCCCCGCTGCGCAGTGGCCCAGAGAGGTCACGGCACATGAGGGCGCCCGCCGGGAACTGGAGGCCCACCACAACCCAGCACTTGAGACATCAGGACAAGGCCGAAAAAACGAACACAGAGAATACCCCAGGAATGTGACAGAGTCACACATCCACTCCGAGGCTGTCAGCAACCAATGTCTTAGTTTGGTGACAATGGTATCCGACAAAAACAACAGAGGACAACAAAAAGCAGCTCAGACTCTCACGAGGTATGGTGCGACTATTGACTGTGTCAACAGATGTCGGTTCAATGGTGACGCAATAGGTATTCGTGCTACCGCATTGTAAACAGCTGAGGGAAAAATCTGGTATTAGATAACAATAGTGGGGAAACAACAAGCAGCCGATTACGTGCTCTAATCCCTGCGGCCTACAGGACTTCGCCGTAGTGCAAGACGCTACGCTGTCTGCCTGTACTTCCTCGATTTGCCTGCTCTACTCTAAAACCGTCCAAGACGATTGTTATCTAGGGCTGAAAGAAACAAGCGGCATTTGCCGCCTTGGTTTCAGCGAATATGAATCATTTATCACAGAACAAGCATGCTACAACCGTAGTATCTACCGTAGCATACTAGGAACATGCCACGTGGCTGATGTTTTGAGCATTCCCGTCAGCATTTCCGTGGCATTGGCGCCGCTGCCTTTAGTATCCTAGTATCCATTCACTCCGTGCCGCCTTTCAAGCAAAGCGCACGCCACAGCATCACCGAACTTTTCCCCTGGCGCAACTCATGGCATCCAGGAACCGTGCCTCTCATTCTCACGGCTACTAAGGCGGGTCGCGGAGAACGACTGCTCGCCACCTCAAAGTGCCGTCGAATTCGGTGTCGATTCCCAGGATCCGGCGGCACAACCTTTCAGTCAGTGGCCGGGTCAGGGCGGGTACTCAGCGCGCCTGTGGCAGAGTGGAGGCCACCTCCGCCTGCCGGGTCGCGCCGTCCCAGCCGGGCCATTTCAACAGAGTGGTCGGCCACAGAGAGTTCGTCCACAATACCCGACACAACCAGCCACTTCCGTCCCACCGGGGAAGGAGAGAGGGAGGAGAGGGGAGAGGGGATGAGAGGGGTAGCAGCCAGCAGGGTGCCGCGCCACCGTGGCCCATTTACGCACCCCGAGCGGTCCCGTAACGGCCGTCAGGCGCCGCCCATTGAGCGTCAACGACCGACAATTATCGCCGCCGAGACGGGCGGCGCTCTCAGCTGGTCGGCCGCGGCGCGTGCCATTCATAGTCAGGGTCAAGGGTGGCCGGCACCGTAAATAACACGTCACACGGCCGCCGACAGTCAATGGGGCCGCGCTGGCCGCCGCGCTACAATCGGTAATGAGCGGTCCCGTATTCCGGCAGCGGCGCCGTGCCGCGGAAGGCCGTCAGAGCCGGCCAAGGATCGCGCCGTGGCAGACGACGCCATATAAAACGGAGCACAATTGGCGGCGGGTCCGCACCGGTTCAGTGCCGGACAGGGTCGGTGGCTCGTTTATAGCAGGCGGTCACTGGGGAGACACCGGCAATCATCTGTCGGCCGATTACGATAACGGTCGTCTCCGCGCCCAAGGGACAGATGACTGAGACACGCTAAATCGACAACGCAGCAGCTCAAAAGTCAAAACACCAAGGCTAAGCTATTATCGAACCATTCAATGTGATAAAAATTAAAACAATTAACGTCGTAGCGGGCAGTATCATCTCACTGTCCAGCAAATCCACATCCACCATCCCACGGCGTCTGCCTGTCCGCCAATACATCCGGAAGCCCCTCCCCATTCCCGCCAGAAGACCGGCTGCTCATTGAAGTCTGTCGGCGCTATTAATAGCCGAGCCGCTGCTCCATTTCCCGGGTTCACAACAGAGCGGTGTGCGCGTCAGCCTTGACCGTGGCCGCCCCTCCCCACTGGGAGTCGCGGGGCGGGGGCGGGGGCGGGGGCGGGGGCGGGGGCGGGGGCGGGGGCGGGGGCGGGGGCGGGGAAATTCCTACGCAGACGGCGTGGCTGTGGCGGGTGACAGTGGCATTGATTTCAGCGTGGCGCGCCGGCCGTTAGTGGTCGCCCCTCCCCTCCCTGGGACGGGACAGAGGTCGGCGACTCGGCGCCCGGTGGCCTGACGGCTGCGTGTCATCGGCAACTCGCTACCACCCCCTTCCTCCACCGCCGGGGTCACGGACAGAGCGCACGTGCACTCTGCTCCGCTGCCCACTCACGACTGGCGGCGACCAGGCCGACCCACCGCCGTCTCCGCCGAGACGGTGACACGTGATTTGAATGAGACGCCGGGCACGACCAGTCAGCCGAGTCGCTCTATCACCCTCGTCCCTCTCCCTCACCCCGCCCCACTGCCGCGTGCACGGCGCGTACTACAGAGCAGCCCCTCCCTTCCTCGTGTGAGTCAGAGGTGCCCCGCGTGGCGCGAGGGGCCCGCCGGGGTCGGCCCGACTCAGCGGTCAGTTGCGTGACCTTCCACCAGCTCTCAAATCCACAATCGTCCTCGTCAGCATACGACCACAAAGCTGCAAATCCCGTCCTGGCACGGCAGTGTGTTCGCGGGCAGCCTGACAGTGCTATCGGCCGCGGACCCCGTCCCTCCTGGTCCCTCCCACGTGGCCGAGCGTTCGCTGCAGGTGCCAGGCAGGCACTGGCGCGGCTGCGAGCACCACTGCACCAATGAGTCACGGCTCCTGGACCGCACGGACCGACGGGCGGACGGGGGTGCGGTGTCCGTGCTGGTATAGGTACTGACACTGACATTAGTACTGGTACTGGTACCTACTGGCACTGGCACTGGTACTGGTACTCACCGAACTGACGGACGCCGGCCGGGTGGGCGTCGGCGGCTGCTGCGGCCGGCCGGGTGCCGACGGGTACCCGCCCGCCGGTGACGGCTGGGACGGTGTCGATGAGGGCGGCGGCTGCTGCGGGGACTGCTGGCCGGGCGGCGCCGCCTGCTGGGGCGCCGTCGGCGGCGGCTGCTGCGGGTGCTGGTGCTGCTGCGGATGGTGCTGCGGGTGCTGCTGCGGGTCCCACTGAGCGCCCGGGTAGCCCCGCGCCGGTCCGTACGCCTGGAACGACGGCCCGGTCACACGTCAGCCTCTGTGCCGTCTGATCAGCGCCGACAGCCGCTCCTGTATGGCCGCTAATCACCCATCACGCCCCCTGTTCACCCGGTGACCGATCGGTCCCGGCCCGAGGAGGGGACGGGAGGGAAGGATGGAGGGTGCTCTGACCACCCACCGAGCGGCAGGTGTATAAAACGAGCGTAAATAGCCGAGGATAATGCTGCCACCGGGCAACGGGACACGGGATAATGAGTTACGCCCACAGTCGGCGATCGGTCAGCGCTCATTACGACTGTACCACACAGACGGACTGACCCCACACAGGGCGGGCAGGAGTCGGATGTCAACATGGGCGCACACTGCGGGCCCAGCCCACTCAGTTCGGCTGCCCCTCCCCCACACACATACACACACCGATCGGCACACATTCAGTAGGGACCTACGCGTCTGCAAATAAGGCAGATCGATAATGGCACCGATTCACGAGAGCCCCTCGTTTGAGTGCAGAATGCAGATTAAATTCATCGAGAACGTCGGCTAACATCAATTAGAGCACGCTGATTTCTTGAGCTTTTGCAGGAGTTACCTACTGTCAATTCGATGTGAACTGTAACTCAAAGTCGAATGATTTTAGTTGATCGGTTTTGCGCTGAAAAGAAACCCGGAGATCGTGGTATCGAGTGTGGCTATTTCTGGAATTTGGACGCGTCAGCAGTAATCCGCCCTGTATCACTCACGGAAACATTGACCGTCGTCGATCGGTCTACATAACAGCGGTCCCGTTCATTCACAGAAGTACTGAATTACTCACAATGCTGCTGCATAATGCGATTGGTAAACAATACCTTTAACGGAAATCAATCCGATTGTGTTGGCACAAACGGTCTTTTTATAGGTTTCAGGAGAGCATTCCATTTATATATTGCTATGATATGTTCCATTAGAGCGTTTCACTCGCCTCTCGATTTAGGAAACCTTATCAGAACGATCCACAAACAAAACGCAGTTACTCAGCACCGAATATTGTACGATGAAATTGTTTGCAAAATATTTTCACGATCACTTCATGATCTCGTTCTGTTGATGAACGAAAATAGACACGAGAACACAACCGAATGTTACAGCTTAATCCTATCATGACAATGCTACTTACAAACTTTTCCATCTTCTACAAAGCGGTTTACGCTTCGTGTTGGCTGGTTCATACGGATTTACTACCTGACCTAGGTCCAGCTATCATGCCATGCACACAATCAGGATGGGCAAAAAATACATTGATGAAAGAAAACAAAACGCGAAATGCACATGTGGCAACACAGCTGCTGCAAGATAGATCTGACGCCCGGTGACTCCTTTCGTCACTACTGACTTGCTTTTGTCATCTAGACGAATTGAACGTACCTACAACAAAAAGGCTACACTTCTCTGGAGTATGCAATGGATGAAGCCACCTGCCCGTGGCGTGTGTAGCCAGCAATTCGACACATAATGCTAAAAAGAGAAAACTTTGAAAGCCGCCGATCGTATACACAGCTTTACACAGGACAATATCCCTTGTAGCCGACCACACCTCACCAGGATATTTGTCAATATTACGAGCATCAGTTCTCTACGATATACCACAGTCACCCCCCGTTCCCTGATAGTGGGGCATGACTCAGGGGACTGAGGATCAGGACAACAGCCACTCTCTCCATACACATGACCTGGACGACTCGAAGTTGTGTATCCCAACAAAAAGCTGGCAGGTTTTTCAGGGCCTTGCAATCTTTTCCTAAAACTTGGCTTCTCTAAGGACGAGTCCCACATCGGATCGGGGTACCGATCAGCAGGTTTTTGTGACGCCTTGTGACCAAACAAAGGGGACCGCGTCTCATCCGCGGTTTCTTCAAATGCCAAAATCGGGACGGTCAACAGTCCCATCACAACACCAGTCGTGACTGCAGTACCACAACCCCTTGATCAGGGCGATACTGAGAATCGCAACAGTTTGGTGGCTCACTCAGATTCAGCTGTTCAGTTAGTAATCAGTTCATGGGTACAACGAACAGCGATTATGGCAGTCACGGGCGTAGGAACGTCATGAAAAGTGGGTGGGCCACCCTGTCAAGGGGCCTCCTTTTCCATGGGGCCTCCTATTTTCAGGGGCCTCCAACTTTTGCCTCATCCTGCTGGCTGCTTTCAAGTATGACCTCCTCCAAATCTAGCTTCTGAGATCGGGCAGATGTACCCAGGGGCGTAACCGCTAAAGCGAACAGTGCGGAAAGTCCGCACCATTTTTAAACTTCTTACCCCTCCGATTTTTTTTAGAATCTATTTGCCGCAAACGGCGCATGACCCCTGAAAACCCTTACACAAATGTCTTCCTCGTTTCCCAGGTGCCCCCATTAGCTTCATAGGCGCCCTCTTTGGCATATAAGCGCCCTATGTGCCTATAGTCATCAGAGACATCCCTATATGTCCCACAGTCGCCCCGTTGTCGCATACAATGTGCGCTTATCATAGGCGTCTCTCGTTTATGGACACTTGAAGGCGCCTCTCTTTGCCATGCCGGCGCCCCTGTTTCTTATGAATGCACCCCCATGGCATTGATCAATTGCAATTAACAGACCTCTATTGCATGTGGACGCCCATATATGTAGACCTCAGAGGCGCCCCTCTTTCGCATTGAGGCGCCCCTATGGGCTTCATAGGCGCCCCTCTATTGCACGTAGGTGCCCTACTGTCTCAGAACCGCTCCCCTTTGGCATGCAGACGCCCATCTTTCGTACGGAGGAGCCGCTGTGGTTCTTAGAGACGGCATGGTGCTCCCAGACGCAGATGGGGCTCTCGGAGTCGACAGTGTGGTCCGTGGGGCCTTCAGTCGCTGATGGGTGCCCGCCAGATGTGGACCCTCGGAGACGCCGGTATGGGGCCCTCAGAGATGCCGGTATGTGGCCCTTAGAGACACCGGTGTGGAACCCTCAGATACTTCAGTGTGAAGCCCTTACAATTGCTGGTGTGGAGCTATGAATGCGCTGGCTTAAATCCCTCAGAGGCCGGTACATGGACATTAGAGCTCAGTGAGAGTTTGTGTGGTGCCTTCAGTGGCCTTGTGGAGCCGTTAGACATCAACATGGTGCTCTCAGGAGCCGGTGGGTCCTCAGAGTCACCGGTGTGGGGCCTTCAGAGCTCCGAGATATTGGTGTGGGGCCCTCAGAGGTGTCGGTGTGGGTCCTTCAGATGTACATACATATAGAGCCTTGAGATGCACAGGTGTGGTGGCCCACAGAGGCGCCGGTGTGGGGCCCCCAGAGCCACCGATATAGGGCCCTAAGAGACACTAGTATGACCCTCAAAGGCGCCGCTGTGTGGCGCTCATAAACACTGGTGTGGAGCCATCACAGGCGGGTGGAGCCGTTAGAGGCCGGAAAGGGCCCTTAGATGCCTACAAGGAGCCTTCAGAAGCTGGCGTGGCACCCTTATGGGGATAAGCGTGTCTACTTAGGAGCCCTTGAGGTGCTCTCATGAGCTCTGTGGGGCCCTACCGAGCCGAAATATGGCCACGGCCAGTTGCCGCCGCATGGCTCTTCGGACTATCATTCTCAGGGGCCTCATCTGCCTAGTTTGAATAGAAGGGCCTCTCAGAGTTCAGACCATCAGTCTCATGGGCCTCCTCTGGCTAGTATAAATAGAAGGGCCTGTTAGACCATCAATCCTAGGGGCCTCTTCTGGTTAGTATAAACAGAAGAGCCTCTCAGACCATTATTCTCAGGGGGCCCCTGTGGACAGTATAAATAAAAGGGCCTCTCAGACCATCAGTCCCGGGGGCCTCCCTAGAAAAGGGTAAATGTGGATAGAGGGTCCCTCAGATTCATTACGAGTGGACCTCTCTGACTATCAGTCTCAGGGGCCTCTTGTGGCCAGTATGCATATAAGAGCCTCTCAGACCATCGGGCTCAGGGGCCTCTTCTGACTAGTGTGGATAGAGGGCCCTCCCGTCCCAGACCACCGGTTTCAGGGGCCTCCAGTGGCCAGTTATATGAACAGAAGGGCCTCACAGCCATCAGCCTCGGGGGCCTCTTCTGACTGGTGTGAATATGAGGGCCTCTCATACCATCAGTCTCAGGGGCCTCCTCTGCCTAGTGTGAATATAAGGGCTTCCCAGGCCATCAGTCTCAGGGGACTCTTCTGACTGGTGCCGGATTGAGGGACCTCCCAGACCGAAAGTTTTGGGGGTCTCCTGTGGCCAGTATGAATAGAAGGGCCTCTCAGTCCATCAGTATCATGGGCCTCTTCTCCCTGGTGTGATTATAAGGGCCTCTCAGGTCATCAGTCTCAGGGGCCTCCTCTGACTACAGTGTAGATGGATAGGCCTCCCAGACCATCAGTCTCAGGGGCCTCTTCTGACTATTGAGGATAGAGGGGCCTCCTCTGACTAGTGAGGGTAGGGGGCCTCGGCTAGACCGCCAGTGTCAGGGGCCTATTCTGACTAGTGTGGATGGAGGGGCCTCCCAGACCAGTGTGGATATTGGGGCCTCCTCAGATCCACTAGGGCCTCTCAGGCCATCAGTCTCAGGGGCTTCGACTGATAAGTATGAACAGAGGGCCTCCTTGGATCCATCACGGCCCCTTGGAGTCCGTGCGTGGGGATTCGTGGAACTTATTTTTACCGAGTTTGTCTATCGAGACGAGGGGCCTCGAGTAAAAAGTGGGTGGGCCAAAACACATGGTTGGCCCCCCCACCTCGAAAAGTGGGTGGGCACTTGCCCACCTGGCCCCCCCTGTTCCTACGCCTATGATGGCAGTTCATTTGCAACGAGTTCAGCTGTTCCACCTCCAAGTTTCGCGGTTCTTTAATGGTAAGTTTAGCATCTCAGCCAGCAGTGAATTCAATGGCTCAGTTAGCAGTGGGTTTGGTATCTCACTCAGCAGCAGTTCAGCATCTCACCCAGCAGTGAGTTCAAGGGCCCACCCAGCGGTGAGTTCAGACCCAGTGGCACCGGCCCTGTCCCTCCGCGACTGACCTGCGGTGGGTAGAGGTGGTTGGGCCGGCCGGCAGCCGCCATCGGGTAGTGGTGCGGCGCCGGTCCGTAGCCGGGGTGGTGCTGCACCAGCGCCGGGTAGCCCGCAGACATGAAGGGCGGCCGCTGGCCCACCTGTTCAACAGACAGGCAGGGTCAGAAGACCAACTACCTGTGGTAGTAATGTTGGTCAGTCCATTGTCAAATCAGAGCAAAGGCACCCCTACTCTGAATAACCTGTTTTTTGTTACCTAATAAAAAAGCTACACATGATAACCTACACAGGACATAGCAGTAATGAAATGCCCTCCACACACAAAAAAAGAAACACAAGCATTTTAACAAACATCAATCAGTAGTCCCTTCAGGTCAAATGCATTGGTACTACAGTCTCATCTGCATAGGTATGGAGCTTGTAAAAATACTTAAAAATTAAATGAAGATGTGCTAGCAGCTCAAGCTTGAGCTATGTTAAATTCTTAGCAATCATGACTTTCAAATATGACTGGCAAGCATCCACAGGAAATTTAGTGAACAGCAAAGCCAGACCAAAGATTGTGAATAAACCTAAGCCAGAGTTGTCACACTAATGGTAAATACTAAATAGCAATAGACCAGTTCTCTCAATTCTCATTCACATTACAACAGAACCCGTATCAGAATAACTTAAAAAATTACAGCACCAATATATAATTGTCACCACAAACAAACCCAAACTGATACTGGCATTCCCACTAATGTAGACGTAACAGCAGCGGAACAGATTGGCCATAGCCCTAAGGCACCTACGGAAAACCTATCAGAAGCAATCAGTATTTTAAAAACCACACTGATAAAATGATAAGAAAATTGGAGGTGAATGTAAAAAGTAGAGGTGAACGCATCTATACTGACCCATTGGCTCCTAACACATGGAAACTTCTGCTGAAACTCACCATTCCAGGCAGAGGAACTGTGGAGATTGGGTTTGAAGGGGGCGTGATCGATTTACCGGGTGTGAAGCTCTCATTCGACGATGAGCCCATCCCAGAATCATCACTACCATTCGTGAACGCTGCCACAGCAGCTTCTTTTTCGCTTACATTGTTTGAATTTGCGTGGATTTGTGGTGGACCGTCAGTTTGAGCCTGAGTCGCAGCCATGTCAATGTTGCGACGGCGTTCTCTCTTTCCATCAAGTTCACAAAGGGCTTCACAGCATCACATATGTTCCCCGATCAGTATTAACACACCATCGCAATAAATTGCACCACTGAAACGCCTGGACTTGCACACTCTCCACTCCACTCACAGCTTTACCCTCCCTCACTCCACCAAGGCCTCGCGTACTTGCCCGCCATCCCGTTCACCTCCAAAATAATTCCAAGCTGTGCTGCGGGCAAAAAGGGCATATGAGGGCCGCATCTTGTCATTCCTTTTTATAAATGTAAGCAGCTAGTTTGCAACGTATGGGTAAACTGGAATGTTTTTTTGTTTTTGTTATTGAAAATACAAACTGTTTCCGCTGTAAATGTGGCACCTAGCAAAACAATTGCACAGAATTAAGTACTACTTTCAATGACGTCACATACGTGCCCTCGATGCCCTCGATGTCGACCAAGCAGAAGTTCACGAGTAAGCGCGGAAGATTACTATAGAGCGCTCAAATTTTAGGTCGCATGTTAGACTTTTGAGCGCGTTGGGAGTGCATTTTTGATGTAGCATGTGTTTGGTACCGGATACCGGTAGTGCTACCTTATCAGGATTGGAAGTTAGACAAAAAATGCATGCACCGTACCGCGTACATGCCTATTACCTATAGCATGGATGAGACCTATGGATGAGACCTATAGCGTGACACCAAGGACTTTTGGTGGAGCCTTGGTGGCACTACGGAAGCGAAATTATTGGGGGCCGCTCGCTCCAAACCAAGTCCAACCCATGCGGGTTTTGTGTACTCGCGCATTGCGGGCTGGCGGGTCGACTAAGAACACCTCTACTACTGGAGTCACTGGCCGCACCAACACTGCACTGGCTTACGGCCATCGATGCTACAAAAGCGACACCTATGAACAAAATCTGAAAGTAGGTAAATTATAGATGACGCTCCACTACAGCTGTCCCTGGAGCAGCAGGGGGTGCGCTCCGGGCTTTTCACATTACGAAAAGTCGAGACACCCTCGCTAGCGCTGTCAGCATCGACACCGTTCCATGCTTCTATCCTCAGGAAACAGAAATCCTTCTCCACGCCGCAACCCCCCTCCGGGCTGGACAGGCAACTTTATCTCATGCGGGCTGCTCCCTTGGAGCGGCACCGCTGCTCCCGAGGGAGCGCACCCCGTAGCCGGGTGCAGTGAGTGCCTTGGGGCTGGGTGGCCTGTCCTCTGGACGGGCTCAGCCCCGGCGACTCACTAGGGTGCGTGCCCAGACCAATGTCTCCCCCTTTATCCTATCATCCTCCTGGCTCTGAAATGGTCTCATTGGACCGAAAGGGCCTAACCCAACAAAACAAACAAACAAACAAATCAGCATCGTGAGCATTCTAAGCAACAACTGCAGTAATCCCACCAATCAGCGTACGGCGTACAAGTAGCCAGATCATTGCAGTCCTCTAGATGGCTATGTTCAGCTGGAAGCTCCGGGTAACCCTGCTGCAGTGGGGGAGGCGAGGGCAGACTGGGAGACAGTGCACACAAGGATTGGTTGGATTCTCGATGCGAGATGGGTTCGCCTGCAGAGAGAGAGAGAGAGAGAGAGAGAGAGAGAGAGAGAGAGAGAGAGAGAGAGAGAGAGAGAGAGAGAGAGAGAGAGAGAGAGAGAGAGAGAGAGAGAGAGAGAGAGAGCAGTGTGGCGTGGAGACAAGCATAAGGAAGCCGGACCTCAGGCAGTTGGTTAGGGTGCAGATCTCCTGCCGACCCAAGTTAACGCCTGTGCTTGTGAAAGCAGCGGGTAGCCTCTAGGCAACTCCGAAACGCAGTCGGCCGGGGTGCGTGTGCTGCTGAAGCACCAGTACCATGCGTACTTGTAGTTTATTCGAGCAGCTCGAGTAGGGCTGTACTTTGTGCTCAGATTTGGTAAGAGTTTATGGGGTTTAATGGCCTCGGTTCGTGGATTTTTTACGATGACGTACGCGGGTTGTGATGCCGCTGCAATTGTCGGTATATGAGAGTACAAAATAGCCCTCATGTGTTAAAGAACATTTTATTATCATTGACCGTCGCAAATGAACAATGATGCATACACAGCCCATGCCTAACCAAATGTAAGTATCGTCGTAACGGTGTTATCAAGAAATGTGTCTTATTTGCAAATAATCGAAAACAGTTGTGATAATCGCCTGTTCCAACAAGCCGCAGTCAGTATCTACGCAGGGAGAGGAGATGGCGAGAGGCCGTCCCGGCGACAGTAACGCTGGTGGTTGCGATACCGTCGGTGGTGATGGCAGACTCGAAGGAATCAGCGACAGGCGAGGAGGTACGGTAGCCTGCGGAGTCTGAGACAAAACGCGACGACTGTGGCGGCGGCAGGACGGTTCAGTTCGTCACGCGGCGAGGCAGCCGGCCCAGATGTCGCCGCTGGGCGGTGCCGGCGTCACCCAGGCGGGGGGCACAGCCGAGCCGAGCGGGTCCTCCGGTCCGACCAGGTACCGGTCCCAGTCAGACCTGTAGACGAGCCAAACAATAATGAGGTACAAAAGCGACAGGGTTGTAATGTGATATTATGAATCTTCCGACATAACGAGTCTTTGGATTGAGAAGAGCAGCTGCTGTGCGATTGACATATAAACGACTCTTGCAATATCTCCATTCAGCATTCCATAATAACTCACATAATGTCAGATCAATGGCGTATTGCTTATCCGGGCCATGTCTGGGTCTAGCAATCATGTTCAATATTCCACACTCACCCACCTGATATTAAGCAGCGTCTGCGGGTCGGCCTCCCAGTCGACCATGTGTATCCGGTGGTCGGTCTCCTCCGATTGGCTCCCCCCGCCGGCGGCGGCGGCAGCGGCGGCCGGACTCACACCAGCCGCTCCGAACAGCGCCCTGAGGACCGACAGCGGACCGCCGGCGGCCGGTGGCGGAGGCGGCGGCGGCCGCGGGCCGGCCGTCATGGCCTGCAGCGCGCGCAGCTCCGTCTCGTAGGTCTGCAGGTGGCGGTCCAGCAGGTCTGTCAGACGAGCCGTCACCTCTGCGAACCGCTGGTCGGAGGCGGCGCTGCTGAACAGGCCCGCCGCGCGCGCCTTCAGGTCACGCACCTCTCGCAGGGTGCGCAGCTCGTCCAACGTCTGTGGAGGCGGCGGTCGTGGGTGGTCAGATATAGGACCAATGAGCAGTGAGAGTACGTGTCACATCATCGGGAGCATGCAAGCTGGAAGCGAAAGAAACGGAACGCATACTACCGTTAAGGAATTACTGAACAGCCTCAATTAGGTGGAAAAGTCTTCGTCCCATTACATAGCCATCGTTTGCCGTAAATTTAAACACCAGTAACATTATTTTTCAACCGAGCATAAGTCGTTTTTTTTTAGTAAGCGTCAGTAAACAGTGTGGGGTCACACATCTGACAAATCAGCACTTCTTACCTCGAGTTGTTTTTCGACGTCGCTGATTTTCCTGCGCACCTCGGCCAGAACCTTGTCCGCCTCCCGTTTCATCTCCTCCTCCTGTTGGAAAAACGACCGAAGGCAATGAAAATACCTATACAAATAAGATATTGAGGATAGAATGGGCGGGATAAACTGCTGATTATTGCCTGGAAGACCCGGTCTCATCGTGCTAGTGGTCCTTCGTCTCTTAACAATTGCAATAAAATAGCGAAATTACGCCCTGCCAGTGGATCATGCAGCTTTTGTAAGAACAAAAGCACCGAAGGTACCGATCTATTTCTTACCAACGTTCCTTAACTGTTTTGAGTAGCACCTCAGTCATGATACAAAACGTGGACCAACCCCACCTCAGCCCGCCTCCGTTCCGTACCTCCTTTTCACGGGCGGCTCGCCGCTGGATGGCCGCCTGCCAGGCGTCGATATCAGCGTGCTTCCTCTGCAGTCGCTGCCGCTCCGCCTGCCGCCGCCTACGATCAGCTGACCGTCGGCGGCGCCGCTGCGCCACCAATCGCCGCAGCTGTGCCGCCGTCTCCGGTCGCGCCAGTTCTGCCTCAGATAGCGCCTGGAGGCTGCTCAACTGTGGGAGCAAGAACGAGTAGTTAGGTCAGGCTGCTAACAGTACAAGGATATTGGGTCGAATAGGGAAATGATGCCGATCAACAAAATCGGAGAAAAGCAGTCAGAATGCGCCGAATCCTTCATTATTCGTTACACTATTAAAAAAAGAAAACGGAAGGACGGCCAAGTAGCAAATGAATTCAGATATGCGAAAATTCAATGACAACAAAACGAAAGAAATTATTCACTCGCAATACAAATAGCCAGAAAATAGTAAATGACTAACTCACGTTTACCGTTTTCGATGTCTTCTTTTTCGCTGCCTCCTCAGAGCATCTAGCCGCGACACCGCTCCGCTCGGCCCAGGCCGCCAACCAGCGTTCCGTAGCAGAATTCATCGCTCCACGGCTACTACCAGCCTCTGTACCACGCTCCCCCATCGCCCCGCTGCCGGGGAGGGCCGGGGAGGGGACAGGCCCGTGTGCCGCCGCCGGTGGACCGGGCGGTAGGGCGGTCACCTGCGGTGGACCTCCCACGGCCGAGGGAGGCTGTTCGCGGCCGGGTGGCGCCAACAGACCAGGGCGGGGTGGTGCGGATGGAACCGGCGGTCTGCCGACACCGGACGGCAAGAGGGCAGCTGTGGGGAGTCGCGGCGGGCGCGGCTCTCCGGCTCCAAACCCCGGCAGAGGCATTGACCGGCCCGGCGGGGGCATAGACCGGTCCAGCGGAGGAATGGACCGGTCTGGCGGAGCTCCAAATGGAACAGGGCCGGAGCCTGCCGCAGCCGGCATTGAAGGCGGGGGAGGGAATGACGGTCGAAAACTGGGCGCGGGCCCAACTCCGGGAGGTACCGACGGCCCGAGTCCGGGCCCGGGCGGTCGGGGCGCGGCCAGCCCCGGCGGTGGACGGCTGAAGTTTTGAATGTTAAACACACCGCTAGATGGCACGGAGTATCCACCAGGTGGCCGCGGAGGTGGCCTCTGATGCCACATGACTCGAACCTCGTTAGTGCGCGAGAAATCAGACGACTTAGTCACTAAACTATTGACAACTCACACACCAAATCACTTAAATTAACGACGATTATTTCGGAATGACGAGTGTAACAAGAGGTGAACGCGCAAGGCACTGGGCGGCGGGCCGAACGCCCTACACGGCCAGATGTTTCTTGGCGTCCTCGACAATAGTCACAGCCTGCTGATACTCCTCCAGTTCTACCATGTCGCCCTCCTCGTCCAGAATTTTCTGCCAACAGCATTCGAAAGAACGGTCAATTGTTGACTGTGGAATGCTACACAACATAGGCAAAACAACTCGTGAAAAAATAACGAAAATTCCACTACCGGAAAATGATGGAAACTAAACGACGAACATTTCGGCTAAATGCAGAAGAATAATATAAACATTATACGACCATGCATTGTAAATAGGCGAATCCAATGAAGGTACGTTTTGCCAAGTGCATCCAAAACTATCAACAGCAACACAAATTCCATTCCTATTTTTAACAAGAAGGTAGCAAAGCACATTAGACAACACAAGCTATTGACGTACGGAAAACGAGCTTCAGGCTTAGTGGACACATACAAATAGTCACCTCACCTGAAGTTCAGTGACAGCGGGCGCGAGCTTCTTCTGACAGTCAGGCACCATCATCATTGATTCCTGGAGCACTTCCTCCTGCTTCTTGATGTCATAGTCATCCTTGCCTGCAAACATGTTCTGAGGTCAGGGAAGATGATCAAATTCAATGGAATTTATCTGCCTAGGATAAAAGGAATGAAATTATTGGTTTAATGGTGCTTGTCATAGCTTGAAGCTCACCTTACGATCAAATTCCATTTACAGGACATGGCTCATTCATTTTCCAGTGTGTTTGCAAAATGTAAATAACCAATTATGGAAAATTGTGGTAAGTGTAAGCCTCGGTTTTACTAGTCAAGGCGTACAGGATATAGGTATGACCATAGAGATATATATACATATACATATGTATATATATCTCTATGGGTATGACAAGGGTGAGGAGAGGTACAGGTTGACCTACCTTCAGTTTTCATGCGCTCAATTCGTTTCTTCTGCTGTTCAGACTCTACCTCATATGATATTTTTTCTTTTGTCAACCGTTTGACAATGCCCGTCTTGATTTTCAATGTGCGTACACGTGGGTCTGCCATGTCCTGTAATATTACCGCGTCAAATACTTAATTCCTTGTTGATGGCACCATATAATTCTACTGACAGGGGGATAAGCTGTAAAGCAGGGCTGCGGAGTCGGAGTCGGAGTCGGAGTCGGAGTCGGTCGGAGTCGACAGTTGTGATTGGAGTCGGAGTCGGAGTCGGAGTCGATTTTAGAAACCCGAGCCGGAGTCGGAGTCGGAGTCACCGAAAATCTGTCGACTCCGCAGCCCTGCTGGGTCTGCGGAGTCGGAGTCGGGAGTTGGAGTCGGTCAGAGTCGACAATTCTGCCCGGAGTCGGAGTCGGAGCTGGTTTTTGAAAGCCGGAGTCGGAGTCGGAGTCGGAGTCGCCGAAAATCCATCGACTCCGCAGCCCTGCTGTAAAGCTCCAGAAGGTCTACCAGATCTATGCCAAAGAAAACATGGATGGTAAAAATTATTCCTTGCACCAGGTGGCAGCACTTCTTTTCGAAAATCAGTTCTTATCTTTCCAAAATCGTGATTTCCTCGCTGAGGAGTGAAATCGGCTTCATCGTTGTCAAAAATAGCAGAATCGTTGCCATTTTCGGCACGTGTAACAAAAATAGCACGTGCTAAAAAAAAACGATTGACCAAACCTCCCCGACTTGGACTGAAATTGAAAAGATCTCGGATTCCAATTCAAGGATACCTACCAAGGGTACTGCAACTAAGAGCCTACGAGCAAGACCCTAAAACTGCAATAATCAGGGTTACCAACGGGAATTTTTCTAAATCCCAAGATCGCCGCGCGAATTTCCCAAAATCGAGCTCCATATCCCAAGGTCGACAGGATCAAAGCCCAATGTGCATCCCAGGGTCTATAGAAACCAAATATAGAGCAAATAAAGTGTATTTGACGTATTTCCAAATCTTTGGTTGACTAAATAAATCAATATCGTTAACATAACTTGCATTCGGCACAGTTACACACGCAGGCCGGCATAGGTACAGAGACACAGCAAGTTACCTGTCTGGGTTTTACGTTTATTTCCCGTTTCACGCGGTTTCAGTCTGGCGGCAAAACCATCCAAAATGTGCGCTCTTGACTAGCATCGATAACCCGAACAAATATTGGGACAGCTCACACAGCTTTAGACAGCTTTAGAAGGCAGGGCATATTTTAAGGCACTTACTGCGTCCCATTCTGGGACGCAGCCCGCTCGCCTTGGGACGTAGCCCCTGCTGATTTGACCCACTGCGTCCCTGCCCTGTGCCCTGTCCGGTACCCTGACCTGTGCCCTGCTGTGTGCCCTGACCTGTACCCTTCTCTCTAAAATGTCCTGTGCCATGCACTGTAACCTGCTGTGCCCTACTGAAGAGGGCACTGAGGCCCTCCTCAGTGTCCTACTCTGTTCCCTGCCCTGTGCCCTTAGTCGTAGCACGTGCCCTCTGCTCAACTTTGGGACGCAGTAAAAATTTGTTAAAATATGCCCTGTTAGAAGGTGGGATAGTTCCTTTAACCGACGCGGAAGCCACTGGGTATTTCGCTAACTGCCTCACTTGAGAGCTGAGACGAGAGAAACAAAGTGAAGACGCGTCAAATAAGGATAACTTATTCGTGCTTCGTTGGTTGCTTGGTAAGGTACAGTGAAACCAAACGAAAGAACGCTCGGTTGTGTTCGTCCAAAAAGGACGGTTTACAAAAAAAAAACAATTAAGTTTGTTAGATGTGTTCCTGATTCCTTTGTTTGGTCTTTATTAATACTTTTCCTTTTCCCAATGATTAAAAAAATGTGCTAAAATTAGCGGGAGTCGAAAGCTCGGGACAAATCCCAAGGTTTGCTGTTGAATCCCAAGGTCCCAAGGTCGGGTTCAATATCCCAAGATCTTGGGACAAATCCCAAGCTTTGGTAACCCTGGCAATAATACCAGTAAAACGCCTTTTGGGCGAAGAACGAGCGAGCGAGATAGTGAGCCCTGCACGTGCGGAAGGGCGAGAGGGTACTTCCAACGGGCTTGCGCAAAGCACCCTTCTAAACGGTCGCTAGTGGTGTGCCAAATTTGAACGCAATCAACCCAGCCGTTCCTGAGATCTGGAAGCAGTATTCTGCACGTGCGCACGTGCAAACGGGGTCCAAACTGACCTTTGCACGGCACCCTACAACTGGTCCCCAACCGTGTACCAAATTTGAGCGCAATCGGCCCAGCCGTTCTCGAGATCTGGAAGCGCCCCCTGCACGTGCGCACGTGAAGTAGGTAGCACCTTAACCGCAACACATGGGAATGCATTGTCTGGTGGGTGCCTACCTGTTTGCCAAGTTTCAGCGAAATCGCCCCAGTAATTACCGAGTTATTAAAATGGGAACAAATTTGACACCTCTTATTGTTGTATTTTGCACGTGCACTGGGAGTGACCCACATGCATCCGGAGTATCCTATTTTTTTTTTATAAATTTAGCTCGAATGTTTGAATGGACGGATTGACAGAGCCGGAGCCCACGCTAAGCAGCTTGTTGCGTAGACCCCGACCCCTACCGTCCGTTTTTGTTTTGGTAGAAGGGATGCTGCTACCCTACAAAAATTACCGCAAGCCAATCGCCCAAGCGGCTGCTGAGATATGAGCCTCTCAAAATCACTACTTTTGCAAAACAGCTTGAACACCCTTGACTTTTCACGTGGCACGTGCCACGGCGGTCACTGAGATGTAGCAAAAGTAGTCAATTACGGGGTAGAAGGGATGGGGCTACCCAACAAAAAAGACCGCAGGCCAATCGGTCCAGCGGTTGCTGAGATATAAGGATATAAGCCTCTCAAAAGCGTTACAGGCCGGGACGGGCCGCTCACACTGAGATTTTTCAGTTATATTGAAAAGACTCACTTCGCTCGCTCGCTCGTAATAAAGCAATCGATAAATTATTAATTTGTAGATTCAGTTTCAGGTTATATCATAAATTGTTAATCGTACCTTTCGATTTCTTGGAGCGTGAATATTGATATTGCCACTCACACTGGAGAATGCGCGTGTGAATATTTGGGCGCGGTTTTTGAAACAAACGCGCCAGAAAAGGAACTTTGTGATTTTATCTAAAACACTGCTATTTTTGAAAAACACTATTTCGCTGCTCACCATACAGCCGTCCCCCAGCACTGCATCTGCCGCATCTGCGAACGAAACGAAATGCTCATGAATATATTTTCAGTTGTCATATGAAATTTTATCGGTTATTCTGAGCTTGATGACCTCGGCTCTGGTGAGCTTGACAAACAGAAATTTTCCGTTTTCGCCTTTTTCGTTCGATCATCCTATAGCTCAATAGCCACTGCACGGGCCGATCAAAACGAGAAAACGTCATCATTACATTCACCGCTAGCCGTCTTGAATATGGTGACCACATGGGTGACTTCGGACTTTGGCATTCGGTGACATTGAGGGATCAAGCCCAAGTGTCAACCATGGGCGTCGCCACCACTACGGACACTACGGAGTACGGACAGTGTCCGTACAAGTTTTGGAAGGCCCGGAAACTTGTACGGAATGTCCGTACAAGTTTCGTCGACCGCAAAAATGCAGTCTTCGCACATGTTTGAAGCAGGTTAAAGCTTATCAGACCCCCTATTTGTGGTTAAAGTTACGATCCAAGGCCGCCCCAAAGTCAATGTCACGCAAGAGTAGGTATAGGGTAAGGTGCCTAATTAGCGACCCCCTTAATTTGAACCGTCATTGCTCACGCTCTGTGGGTGCCACTGTATTACTGGCTTGATTTTCGGAGAGATCGTTCATTTTTCTATTAAAATATAGTCATTTTCTGCCCCAATATTCACTAACTTATTTGTAGTGAGCATTTTGGCAAACCATTGCAAAAAACGCTAATAGGGAACTCTTCCCGATTAGCGACCGGGGAGGGTCGCTAATAAGTCTATGGGTTTCCCCATATTAAAAATGGCAAAAAATGCGACGCCTGAAAAGATGAAATATGATCTCAAAAAGGTAACCTATATACGCAAAGCACTCAATCACTCGAACAGGAACGTTTATCCAACACATTTACGTAAGTAAAAACTGATCACGCGATGCACCGAAGGCGAAAAGAAGGCGGAAACCCAAATTTTTCGGGCTATCTCGTATGATATTCGAGGTCCGCGCTGAATTCGGCACCCCTGCAGTCGGTGACGACATTTGGCATCCCCTGCCACACATTGCAAGCTTCAGCAACACCTCATTTTCATTCCTCTCTTTTCCCCTTTCTTTCCCTTCTTGAGCTATTTGCGACCATGTCAGGCGCAAATAGGAAATACGAGTTGCGACACATTTTTAACCGCCATGCTGTGCACAGTTGAGCGATTCACTATGGTAAAGCGGCAATCAATTGAAAAAGGAATGTCGATTCAGAATAAAAAAGGTGCATCATCCTAATGTGCATCGCTTTTCATCAGAGATGGCCCAAACACACACGTTTTGGATAAGAAACTCGTCATTTTTATTTAAACTCACCTGAAACGTTCCACCAGAAACATCGACGACCGGAAAATAATTTAATTTGATAACCAAAGTATGGCTGACCTTTTGACGATGTTTTTACCCCGTTTTCTCCTGCCAGTTTTTCTGTAGGGAGGTAGGTCGCAAATCGGAAAGGGTCGCTAATTAGGCACCTTACCCTAGGTATAGGGTGTGACGAAATTATTCGGACATCTTTTTTATTAGAACTCAGTCCGGCCGCGAACGCTTAAGTGGTTAGGAGAGTTGTCAATATATCAAACTGAAAAAGACAACGCAATGGACGGGAAAATAGCTAGTGCACCACCTTTGGCCTCACACCAAGACACATCCACTGCACTGGTCGAAGGAAGACATGAGCGTTTGGTGGAGTGGGCAGCTATTCGCGCCAATTCGCGCTGTATTGTCCTTTGAGCCGTCAAAGCGGCCTTGTGTTGGCTGCCAGTAACTCAAACGTGCCGGCCGTCACCGGCGTCAAACATCCGGCCAAGATCCAGGTCCGACCTGGATCTTGGCCGGATTCCAGGCTGGAACATGTTCAGCTTATGTGCGATGTTCCAGCTGTGCATTGTGTCACAGAAGACCACCTTCAGTGACGATTATAGTACCGAAGCAGCATCCTGGCAAACATTGGAGCCGCTCAACCGGACGGCACGGGAGGGCTCGATTTCTAAAAGCGCACTGATGTTTGATTCAAGCCACGCTGCCTTCGTGCAGGTTGGAGCGCTACATTAACCCTATTCAGTGACGTACCCAAGGGGGGCCACGCCTTTCGGCGCTCAGGGGGCCCCTCATGCCCCAGGATATTTTTTTTAAACACTGGATAAAACGTCTTTTACTCGGAAGAAAAATTGATATTAAAGTTTCATTTATGTGCCCTGGGTACCCGAGGGGCCCCTGCAGTCATCCAAGGGCCCCCAGTTTCCTGGGCCCCTGGTCTCCTAGGGGCCTCTGGTAGCCGGGGGCCTGGTCTCATGGGGGCCCCTGATAGCCTGTGGCCCCTAGTCGCCTAGGGGCTAGGGGGCCCTGGTCGCATGGGGGGCCTCTGGTCGCATGAGGCCCCTGATCGACTGGGGGCCCCTAGTTGCCTAGGGGGCCCTGATAGCCGGGGGCCTGGTCGTATGGGCCCCTGATAGTCTGTGGCCCCTAGTCGCCTAGGGGGCCCTAGTCGCATGGGGGGCCTCTGGTCGCATGATATTGAGGCCCCTGATCGCCTGGGGGTACCTAGTCGCCCAGGGGGCCCCTGGTAGCCGGGGGGCCCCTGGTTGCCTGGGGCCTCCGGTCGCCCCTAGTCGCCTGGGGGACCCTGGTCGCCTTGGGCCCCTGGTAACCTGGGATCCCCTGGTCGCCTGGGGGCCCCTGATCGCATGAGGGCCGCTGGTCACCTAGAGGGCCCCTGGTCGCCTGGGGGCCCCTGGTAGCCGGGGGTCTGGTCGCATGGGGCCCCCTGGTCGCATGGGGGCCCCCTGGTCGCCCCTGATCGCTTTGGGGACCTGATCGCATTGGCCCTTGGTCGCCTGGAGGGCCCTGCTCGCCTGGGGCAGTGGGGCCCCTAGTCATCTGGAGGACCTGGTCGCCTGGGAACCCCTGGTCGACTGGGGGCCACTGGTCGTCTGAAAGTACGCTTATCACCTGATGGATCCCAAATCATCTGAGTGGCTACTGGCTACTGGATATAAGTAGTGACTGGAGTAGGCACTCATCTGAAGGGTCACATGAGGTCAACATAAAACTTGACCTTTTCAAACAACCTACATATATGTCATTCGACGCGTCTTGACATGACGAATGCGTTGGTACCACTGCTTTAGGTCTAGGACCTTTTTTGGTGAAGAAATCTGCAAAAAAGCCGCAGCTCGGGGTCGCTAACCTAACCTTTGACCTAATGTCGCTAACCCTTTGACCTAATGTAGGTTGGTATCAAAAATGTGTTTGTATTTTTTCCCAAAATCACTAGGCATTCGGGGGCTATCGCAACTATTCGTCCGAGGTGAGTGTGGGGGGGGGAGGGGAGGACGAAAAACACCCTCCCTGGGTCCGCGTGGGTTAACGCATCTGACGAGCATTACGGCTGACAGAATGTGTCCGTACAAGTTGGGGACCCGTGGCGACGCCCCTGGTGTCAACTTAATGTTTTCATCTGTTTGAGACAGGGCTGCGGGGTCGGAGTCGGAGTCGGAGTCGGGGTCGATTTTGGAATCCTGTACCGGAGTTGAAGTCGGATTCACCGAAAACTCATCGACTCCGCAGTCCGCAATACATGAATCAGATGCTAATCTATGCTAGATAGGTAGTAGGTAATTTTGTTACCTATATCGTCGATGCTATAGCATCGACGATACCTATAGGTTAACAAGCTATAACTAGGCGCAGCGCAACTGCCCGGCTGATAGAAACCCAAGCAACACCATGATTGTCCATTTCTTTCGCAGCATTCTATTTTATCAGGCTCATCGATTAGGTAGGGTAAGGAGAGGTAACTTCGTGAAATCCTCAACTTCGTGGATTTGCAATTTCTCAGAAATCTGAAAACTTGCAGCGCTGTCATGACCATCTCATCCTGTGAGGCTCTGGCAGAGGGGGAGTGACTTTTGCTAAGCAGTTAGTTGTCCCTCCTTTGGTTTAGGTAGGTACCTAATGCTGCCAAATGAAAAAAATATTGTCCAGGTTCTCAACTTCGTGAACCCTAACTTCGTGATGAAAAAGTAAGGCAAGCATTTGCTGAAAAGTCATGTTTTAGCCTTTCCATACCAACGCAAAATGTTGGGTCTGGAGGAAGATTTGCATTTTTCACCACGAAGTTACCTCGCCTATATCGAACCTATAGTGACTTCGGGTCGGGCAATATCATGATCAATGACCTCAATAGGTCAACTTGAGAGACCACCAAGGGTCACCATACTCTTAAACGGCTGGGTGAAATCGCATAGGTACAAAGAATCGAACGGTGGCGTTTTCGTTTCAATCGACCGGCCAAGTGTCTCACCTGAGTTGTAGGATGGCTGCAATAAGCGGAAACGTTAAGTTGAACTCCTCAAGGTCATCGAACTTATTCGAGGTCAATGCCGGAACGCTGATGAAACTGCAAGCGAAAACCGAATGGTGGCATTTTCGTCTCGATTGCTGAGTAAAAAAGGATCACTAGGCAGTAGGAAATAAAAATGAGTTGACCTTTTAAGGTCATCGAGGTCACTTGAGTCATGAAACCATCAAGTTTGAAATGGCCGATGATATTGCATACTGGGAACTGCGAAATGAATGGTGGCGTTTTCATCTATGACCATGTCCCCGTTAGTAAGTACCTACCACGTGTAGCTGGGTTACACATTTTTACACGCACGTGAAACAGCAAAACAGCCTATTAGGCTCGGTTTCTTTTAAGTCTTAATACAGACTTAAGCAGCCACGTCGCTCTATTTGATTGAATCTTCCATCGCGTGTCAGTAATCAAGCACTATAGTTGTAATCTAGTCAGTCGCTTAAATTGTGTTATTTCATGCGTGCTTATCGAGCTTATCGTCGGAATTGAGCTCGGGCGGGGTAACACTCGTGGTTTTTTT